GTTCACTTAAGAATTTCTTGTTCCTTAATGAGCTCGAATCCTTAGGGACCAATGTCTAAAAGGTTTTAAAAAGGCTTAGGTTTGTGTAGTGAGGAATTAATGATTTTTTGGGCTAAGGAAAGGGTGATGAAATCCCTCACCTTATCTTGATTAAGGGTTTTTCCCTTAAAAATACTTTCAAGTGTGTGCCAAATCAAGATGCCCAAATCACTTTGGTGAATTCCTACTAACTATATGAAATGCAACCCTATGAATTAAAAGCAACTAAAAAGGATGGTAAAAAGAAAAATCCTTTTTTTTAATTAGGGTTAACAATCAAACAATTGTGAGAATGAGGAATATTGTTGAATTTATTATCTTGTTAGTAAATGTCTAAGTGGAGGGTGGATTTTATTATGATCGACAAAAATAAAATCTTTTTTTAAGTCCTAATTGTCTCTAATTGTGAAGAAGTAACTAACGGGTGGAATTGAAAATTCTAGAAAGAAGAGTTACCTCAAGCAAATCCTAAATATGAATCAAACCTCAAGTAATTCTTCAAATCCTCGATCTTCAATCCTTAATCTTCAACTCCAAGTGGTTCCTTCACAAGAAAACAAGTAATTCTTCAAATCCTCGATCTTCAATCCTTAATCTTCAACTCCAAGTGGTTCCTTCACAAGAAAATACACAAGTTAAAGAACCAAAATAAATAAAATCCTACTTAAGCACCATCCCCGGCAACGGTGCCAAAAACTTAATGCGGGCATAAACATATACCTAAAAATTACAAGTGCACAATCAATCAAGTTATAGTATAAAAAATTATCGATCCCACGAGGAAGGCGTTTTGTAGGAGAAAATTAAAGTCGGTTCTTATGTTGTGTGCGTGACAATTAGGAGTGATGAGTGAATGTGATTGTGGAGAGATAGTGAAGGTGATAGTATGTAAATAGGCACAAAATGTAAGTGAGAGTGGGTGTGACAAAGTATGAATGATTTTAACAATGAGAGAAAAAAAGATGAATAAAATTAAGAAACAAAAAGAAAAATTAAGAATAAAAAGAAAATTCAAGAAAATAAAGATGAAGGATTCAATTAAAGATATGAGAAATCTAGAATTGAATCCACTTCTTAGAGAATATAATTCCCTAGAGGGTTCTAGCCTCAAGGCGAATGAAACAAAATAAAAATGAACAAAAAAAAACTAATCCCAAAAGGGTTCTAGCCTCAAGGTGAATAGTGCAAGAAAATAAAATCTAACTATAAAATAAATTGTAAAAACTAAACTACAAAATAAATTGCAAGAATTAAGAACGAGAAAATAAATCTACTCTATAAGCATGAAATAAATCCAAAGCAAGAGGGTTATTGTCTCTTAGCTATTTAAGCAAGAAAATAAAATCTAACTACAAGCATGAAAACAAATATGAGCTAATAAGCAATAAAAAGAAATAAAAGAGAAAATAAAAGCAAACCTTCGAATTGATCCCCATCTCCATCTTCATCATCCAACAAAGAAATGAAAAGAAAAATTTAAAGTGGTGAAAAAATTCTATTATTAATTATAACAAAAAGTTATAAATTTAGAAGGTCTTCTCAATTAAGAGTAACCCTCCTCTCTAAATGGAGATAAAAAAAATTTCACACTCTCAACCCCTCACTCTCTACCCCTATTTATAGTAAATATCAATGAATATGAGCCCTTGGATTGAAATCTTATCCAAAATTATCAAAAATCAGCCCCTAATTCGTAACAGAACTGTCAGTATCGATGTCAGTATCGTTACAAGCATTGATGCTGGCATCGATGTCCTATCAAATTTCTACCTTGACGGATGGCTTTGTCTCGTTGAGATAGGCGATTTTCATATATTATATGATAAATTCCGCCTTCCGGGTTGAGAGATATCGTCATTTCTTTGCGGCTAACTATCTTGAATACATTTGTTTTTCATATTTGATTTTTTTATTTTCTTCGGCTTGTACAGGCTACTCGGCTTGATTCTGGGCTTGGGAATTTTAGTTCTTGCTTGTGTTCTTTATTTAATTCATGGGTTTTTGTTAAGAGAATAGATCTTGGGCTTTATTCTTCATTAACCTGCAATTAAAGATAAAAACAATTATTAGTGATATATTTATTCATTAAAAATAGATAATGAGGGTATAAAATTGTAATAAAATGTTATTATCAAATACTCCCACACCTAAACTTTTGCTAGTCCTCTAGCAAAGAAAGAAAAAGAAAATCCTAACTCACTTTCACAGGAATCGCGGTTGTATTTAGCGCATACATGATGCGACATAAACATGTACCAAAAATATTTATTCATGTTTAGCATAAATATTTTTCTCTTTTTGTTGATAACAAAGGGGGAGAAATAGGTATTGTTATGTATTGTTATAGACTTAAATTTGCATATATGCAGGGGGAGTAAGTATGGTTATTTCATTATGTTTAAATCTGATTATAATATACATACTTATGCATAAATTATTTGTTATCATAAAAAATGGGGAGAATGTTGAATATCATATCTCTATGATAGTATTTTGATGATAACAATTTATACAATGTGTGCACTAACTTTTATATGCAGATTTCAATATCAGAATATGAACAAGTGCAAGTTGATTTCAAGGCATTATGAAGTGAAGAAAATGAAGAACATATGAGATAATGTATTTTACATTTTATTTACTTAGAATTTTTGTACAAGCCTTGATCACACACACGCACACACACAATATTAGAACACACTAACACAGGCTTAGTGTGTTGGTTAACTATAGAAATCCCCTATGTTAACCATTAGAATTCTAGTTAATACTTGAGTATAAAAATCTTTTATTTCATTATTTCTACTCTTAGTAGTTGACTAATTAGAATAGTAGTCGACTACTCGTGTATAAAACTTAAATATATGTTTCTGTCATTTTACAGTATAGTCGACTAATATAGATTATAGTCGACTACTCAAGTGTTTGACAGAAACATAAGTTTCTGTTATTTTACAGTATAGTCGACTAATCTACATTATAGTTGACTACTAAAGGCAAATTTTATTTTACAAGTCTCTCAAAATACAGTGTAGACTAATGAGCATTGTAGTCGACTACTTAGAAATTTTCTGAATACACAGAGTCTGTTTGAACTCAGTGTAGTTGACTAATCTGTATTGTAGTCGACTACAGATACAGTTTTTCCAGATTTTAAACGTTTTTAAAGTTCAAAAAAAATTTCTTTTCAAGGGCTATAAATAGGTTATCTGTTCAGAAAAAATGCAGAGACTTATATACCTATAAGCTTTGATCTTTGTGCATTTTTTCAAGTGAAAAATATTCAGATTTTGAGAAAAAAAAGTTTCTGAAATTGCCTCTGAACATCATTCAAATACTTATTGTTTAGGCAATTTACAGAAGTTAGAATCATTCCTAAGCCACTACTACACTACACTACAAATCAAGGCTTATAGGAATTGAAATTGTTGCTTCAAAAGTTCTCTCAAGTTGTGAGAGGTGTTAATCTCTTGGTTTAGAGATTGGTGTGCAAATTGGCAAGGTGTTTGTCAATTGGTATTGCAATTTGCAGGGACTTACAAATTGGTCAGGTTTGCTTTTTGATTTTGTAACTTTATTCAAAATCATAGTGGAAACTCTCAAGCGGGATTTGCTTGGGGATTGGATGTACACTGGATTGGTGGAACCAATATAAATCCTTGTGTTTGTGATTGTGAATTTCTGAGATTGCCATTTTTCTTTGCAATTTAAAATCTACTTTGCATAAATTTTCAAAGAACACTATTCACCCCCCCTCTAGTGTTCTAGTGTATCTATTTCAGATCCTACAGGGAGGTCATGGGTCGACTGATGGCAAACATCAGTCGACTGACGGACTTGTGTCTGCCCTATTGTTTTGTGAACTACCCTATCAGACGACCGATGAGGTTGTCGGTTGACTGATCAGGTCGGCTTTTATGAGATTGAACATTTTGCTTGTGTGTTCGTTTGGTGAGCATTTTTTAAAAGACGTGAGCTGATATTCATTCATAGTTTGAAGAGTATACGTACGGGGATTGAGTATGCATGGTTACATTGTTTGGGGTAATCAAATAGGTTACAATCGTTAAGAATAACGGCTATTATTATATATATATTATAATTATGATCGGTTGGGTGGGGTTAGTTAGGTCCCACAATAAGACCATGGATGGACTATACTCCGAGTTCTTTAGTCGGGCCCTGTAATAAGACCACAGATGGACTACACTTCTTTATTGGTTTGCATGGAGATGCGCAGAGGTTGATATGCCTATCTATTGGTCTGCATGGAGATGCGGTCTACATGGAGATGCGCAAAGGTTTAAATACCTACCCATCGGTCCACACAAAGATGCGCAGAGGTTGAAATACCTATTTATCGGTTCGTACGAAGATGCGCAGAGGTTGAAATACCTATTTATCAGTCCATACGAAGATGCACAAAGGTTGATATACCTAACTATCAGTCCGCATGGTTATGCGATGAGTTAACATACCTAGTTATTTGTTCACAAGGGAGTGCAATGAATTGACATATCTATTTAATGGTCCGCACAGAGGTGCAATGAGTTGAAGTATTCTAGAGAAGGACGGTTTGATAAATAACCTAAGTGTAGGTGAATATTAACATCATCGATATGATCCATTATGAAAGTATTTTGCAACTTAGATACACGAGTGTGTTAATATCTGTTTTACCCACTAAGGGTAGTATGAGGGTTGATATGACATTTTTGGTGATGTGTGATGTGGTATTTCCTATATTACCTTTCTTGTTTTCATTTATTCTTAGTCTTGGAGTTAATATTTAGCGATTCATAGTTTGAGACATATGGTATATACATAAGGGTTTCCTTGTTTGGATTATTTCGCTCGACGTACCAGTCTCGTTTTGTGATTTTCTTTGTATTAAGCCTAGTTTAGTACAAGGTAAATAAACTAGGTAGACTATTTACTTATAGGTAGAGCCTACATCATACCTAGTAGCCCTTTTCCCCTGGGGGCAGATGGAGATGATCTTGCTAGCGCTCCGACGCTGTGGTTTTCACTTCTTTTCATGTAGCGGAGCAGAGTTTTAGAGAGCTGCAGTTTGACAGATTTTTAGCATAGTCGCCGTCATATATGTTCAATAGTTCTGCTCCACAGATGTTTAGTTTATATTTCTAGTTGATGTTTAGATTTATATTATATTTTGAGAGCTGAGAGAGCTTATGTATTTTTCAGTTGACTCTTGTAGTTGAGATTTTGGATCATTTATTTCAGATTGTTGGACATATTTTCTGTTATATCTGTTGAGACCTAATTATTTAGAGATTTATAAAATATTTCTATGTTCTATTTCTTGTTTTCACCTCTTTTATATCTGCTTGTACCTTTACTGTCTTATTTATTTCCACTAGAGGGATATTTCTGTGATGGTGAAACATATCATTACACGGTATAGGTGCATGGCAGGTTTGATATCCTTGGTTTTACCTTGGACTGCAGTCTTGTGTCAATCTAGGGGCATCATAGTTGGTATCAGAGTTCTAGTTCCAGCATCCTTAGGATCATCATGTGTCAAGTCGTGGAGCTAGGATAGAGTTTCCTAGGATTCATGTATAGAGTCCACTAGGAATTCCTAAAATGAGTGAGGACGTAATACGTATACCTCAAAAATTGCAAATTTTTTATGACTATCTTACTTTAATTGAAAAGTATTTGCATGAATGTTATGTGATACATTATGTTATGTATATATATTTGCGACCTCATTTACTGTGTGTATTAAGCTTTCCTCTTGATATTATTAATGTCAGGACGTATATATATTTGCGACCTCATTTACTGTGTGTATTAAGCTTTCCTCTTGATATTATTAATGTCAGGACAAGGATGCGATCGAGATAAAACTCATACCCGGAGAGATAGGCAAACAGAGCCCGAGCCGCAGTAGGCTCTACAGTATCTGATCGACTTCATAACGCCGATTGCAAAAGCAGAGACTAATAACACTCGAGGAACGAGTAACGAGCCACATTACATTTTCTGGAGTTCCACCACCAGTTGTAGCAGTCGTGCCTATTGAAGAGGTAATACTAAAGATTTCACCATCACCACAACCAGCGGTTGATAGACCCGCAGAGTAGGAGGCTTGGCTCTGTAAGAATAAGAAAGACATCAGACACTGAGAGCACCATAGTTTTAGGGCGCACCGGACTTATGTGCAGCCTATAAATGGAAGAAATATGTGAAAATTTCTTAACGTCGACTCAGTACTAAAGTGGAGTTAGATGTTTTTACCATAGAGGATAGCACCAGAGGATGACACCAACTTTAGATTTTTACCGGAGCAGTGAATACCACTTATTTGGGAAAAATTTGGTGTGCTTCTTTGATAAGCAGTAGAGCTAGTCCAATTAAAGCAGGGAGATATGAATGTAGTTAATTATCCTGCTGTGGAATCTAGAGAGCCCGAACAGCAGGGTAAGGATTTTTACCGCTATCAACGAGAATAGCATAGGAAGAGAGCACAATAGCGTGCATGTTATAATTATAACAAGATCAGACATAGAGTGAAGGATTGTCGTAGTACACTAGTAGGAACTAGCAGGACAGAGGTTAGAGTCAGCAGTCTCAAGGCCGCAAGTACGGCTAGCAGCAGAGGATTTGAGGCACCTCCAACCATCTCGACGATTGAGGGGCCAGTAGGCCAGATTCATACCATCTAGGAGATTCCTGAGTTACAGACAATCCCTTATATTCCACCACCATTAGCGTAGCAATCGCCAGCCACTGGCAAGGTTTATGTAGCCGTACCGCGTGATCATGGTACGAGCAGAGCTTTCTTAGTGATTTCTTTTCCAGCTCTAATCTTGTTGATTCAGAAGCTTCACATTCTTTTATCTATCATGATGTCATGATTAGACTTCAGCTTGTAACGCAGCCTTTAGGCGTTCCATTATCAGTTTCTACTCCTTTGGAAAAGGTGCCTCTCTTAGAGTGTATCTATAGGAGATGTGTCATTAGTTTAGATGAGTCTGAGTCCGTGGTCGATTTAATCATCTTGCGAATGTCTGATGTTTGATGTTATTTTTGGGAAAGGTGCCTCTCTTAGAGTGTATCTATAGTTGGTATTAGAGTTCTAGTTTTAGCATCCTTAGGATCGTCCTGTGTCAAGTCGTGGAGCTAGGATAGAGTTTCTTAAGATTCATGTATAGAGTCCACTAGGAATTCCTAGAATGAGTGAGGACGTAATACGTTTACCTCAAAAATTACGAATTTTTTTATGACTACCTTACTTTAATTGAAAAGTATTTGCATGAATGCTATGTGATACATTATGTTATGTATATATATTTGCGACCTCTTTTACTGTGTGTATTAAGCTTTCCTCTTGATATTATTAATGTAAGGACGAGGATGCGGTCGAGATAAAACTCGTACCTAGAGAGATGGGCAAACAGAAACCTACCCGCAGTAGGCTCTACAGTATCTGATCGACTTCATAACGCCGATTGCAAAAGCAGAGACTAATAACACTCGAGGAACGAGTAACGAGCCACATTACATTTTCTGGAGTTCCACCACCAGTTGTAGCAGTCGTGCCTATTGAAGAGGTAATACTAAAGATTTCACCATCACCACAACCAGCGGTTGATAGACCCGCAGAGTAGGAGGCTTGGCTCTGTAAGAATAAGAAAGACATCAGACACTGAGAGCACCATAGTTTTAGGGCGCACCGGACTTATGTGCAGCCTATAAATGGAAGAAATATGTGAAAATTTCTTAACGTCGACTCAGTACTAAAGTGGAGTTAGATGTTTTTACCATAGAGGATAGCACCAGAGGATGACACCAACTTTAGATTTTTACCGGAGCAGTGAATACCACTTATTTGGGAAAAATTTGGTTTGCTTCTTTGATAAGCAGTAGAGCTAGTCCAATTAAAGCAGGGAGATATGAATGTAGTTAATTATAGAATCATGACCAACATAGTAACAATGGCAAGGGCAAGAGACCTGCTGTGGAATGTAGAGAGCCCCAACAGCGGGGTAAGGATTTTTACCGCTATCAATGAGAATAGCATAAGAAGAGAGCACAACAGCGTGCATGTTATAATTATAACAAGATTAGACATAGAGTGAAGGATTGTCGTAGTACACTAGCAGGAACCAGCATGACAGAGGTTAGAGTCAGTAGTCTCTGGGCCGCAAGTTTGGCCAGCAGCAGAGGATTTGAGGCACCTCCAGCCGTCTCGACGATTGAGGGGCCAATAGGCCAGATTCATGCCATTTAGGAGATTCCTAAGGGACAGACAATCCCATATGTTCCAACACCATTAGCGTAGCAATCGCCAGCCACTGGCAAGGTTTATGCAGCCATACCGCGTGATCATGGTACGAGCAAAGCTTTCTTAGTGATTTTTTTCCAGCTCTAATCTTGTTGATTCAGAAGCTTCACATTCTTTTATCTATCATGATGTCATGAATAGACTTCAGCTTGTAGCATAGCCTTTAGGCATTCCATTATCAGTTTCTACTCCTTTGGGAAAGGTGCCTCTCTCAGAGTGTATCTATAGGAGATGTGTCGTCAGTTTAGACGAGTCTGAGTTCGTGGTCGATTTAATCATCCTGCGAATGTCTGATGTTTGATGTTATTTTTGGTATGGATTGGTTATCATCCTACCTTGTTAGTATAGACTATTTTGCAAAGACAATCAGCTTGTGAGCATTCAATGGGTTTGTATAGATAATAGCAACCTCATAGGGTAACCAGAATGCGGAGTCATTTCTAGCATACGTCAAGATGGTAATGATACGGGATCAGGGTGTAGATTTAAGCGAGATTGGAGTCGTCCCAGAGTATCAGTATGTCATTCAGGACTTACAGAGATTTCTTCCAGTGAGAGAGGTTGTTTTCCTATATTGAGTTGTAGTAGGCACCGTACTGATATTCTGAGCATCCTATCATATGGCACCCGCTGAGATGAGGGAGGTACAAACTCAGCTAGATGAGTTGTTATCTCAGACTTTCATTTTCCGGAGTCATTGTCATGGGAGCATCGGTCCTCTTCGTGGATATGAAGGACAATAGCATGCAATTATGTATAGATTATAGTGAGTTGAACAAGGTCACTTCCCAGATCAGGTATCCACTATCAAGGATTTATGACTTGTTCGACTAACTGAGGGAAGCGTAGCATATTTCGAAGATTGATCTTCGTTCTGATTATTTTTAGTTGCGAGTGCGGGGAATGGATTTTCCCAAAACCACCTTTCTGACTCGATATGGGTCTTTTGTGTTTTTTGTCATGCCATTTGGGCTAACTAATGCACTCGTTGGTGAACCAGGTTTTCCATCCATGTTTGGACCAGTTTGTGGTTATTTTATTGATGACATCCTTATCTGTTCGAGATTAGAGGTAGAGCACGAGCAGCATCTTTGTTTGGCATTGCAGACTTTGTGGGAGCATCAGTTTTGAGGTTAGGTTTTTGGCCATATTATCAGCAAGAGGGCGTTGTAGTAAATCCAGCTAAAGTGAAAGCAGTACTTGATTGGGAACCACCGAAGATATTTATAGAGATTCATAATCTTTTAGGTTTGGCCGGCTACTACAAGAAGTTTATTCAAGACTTTTCGAAGATTGCAACACCACTTACTTGCCTTACGCATAAGGGTGTATAGTTTGATTGGGGGCACAGAGTGTCAGGAAGCCTTTGAGACTCTAAAGGTAAAATTGGATACAGCGTCAATAATGGTTATTCCAAGTAGTGATTAAACATTTGTTGTCTACACATATGCATAGTTAGTGGGTCTAGGTGGTATTATGATGCAGATCCAAAGAGTTGTGGCTTATATTTTGAGGCAGCTGAGAACTCATGAGCAGAATTATCCCACGCACGACTTGGAGCTAGCAGCATTGGTTTTTGTACTTAAGGCGTTGAGGCATTATTTTTATGGAATACAATTTGAGTTAATCACAGGTCACCAGAGCTTAAAATATCTCTTCTCATAGAAAGAACTCAACTAGAGGCAGTGACAATGGGTAGAGTTTATTAAAGATTACGAGTTTGCTATACACTACCATCCGGGAAAGGCGAATGTGGTAGCAGATGCATTGAACAGGAAGCAACACCACGGGCTTACAGCTTTGAGGTGTTTATTATATCGAGATCTTTACACACTCAGCCACTATGATTTCAGGCTAGAGATTGGGGGGAGCAGTGTTTTCTTTGGAGCTTTATTAGTACAGCCATCTTGGAGTGATAGAGTGATCGAAGCTTAGCTAGAGGACTCTTGGATTCAAACCCGTAAGGGAGAGATTTCCAAGGAACCCAAGGCTAATTGGACTATTGAAGCAGATGGAGGCCTTCAGATGAAGAGTCGATTAGTTATGCTAAACAATCCACAGCTGAAGAGAGATCTATTTGTTGAGGCGCATCTAGCTGGTATATAGTGCATCCAGGCACGATAAAAATGTATAAAGACCCGAAGAGGCATTTTTGGTAGAGTGGCATGCGTAGAGAGATTGCAGATTATGTGGCTAAGTGTTTTACCTGCCAGCAAGTTAAGGCAGAACATCAAAGACCTGTAGGGACCCTACAGCCTTTACCCATTTTCGAGTGGAAGTGAGCAGATATTTTCATGGATTTTGTTGTAGGGTTACCTAAAACAAAGAAAGGAAATGATTCTATTTGGGTTATAGTAGATCGGTTGATGAAGTTGGCGCATTTCTTACCTGTGAGGATGACTTATACGGCGGATACATATGCGAGAATTTTCATCCGAGAGATCATTCGATTACATGGAGTCCCAGAGATGATTGTATCAGATCGCGGCTCAGTCTTCACATCCTATTTCTGGAGGAGTTTTTAGGATGCTTTTGGAAGACTGTTGTCATTTAGTAGTGTTTTCCACCCTGAGACCGATGGTCAGACAGAGAGGGTGAATCAGGTGTTAGAGGATATGCTGCAGCATGGGTGGATAGATTTTTAGGGTAGCTTTTGTTCGCGGGAAAAATCGTATCTTTCTTCATTGATTCCATTGCACACTCTTGTAAAAGTTTATCGATTACAAAGATCCGGTCTTTTTATAAGATCCGGTTACAACGAGATCAAAAAAGGAAATAAAAATTACAACTTTTCTCTTTTGTCGAACAAATCGCGAGCTCCTGTTTTGCGGTCGCTCGCTTTGTGGGTTCTTCGCCTGTGCCGGGGTTTATCCGTGGACCACCGCGCGATCTAGATCCGGTCGGATCTACGCAGTACGATGGGTATTATTTCACGAAGGAAATAATAGCCGAGGGGGATTAATTCACCAAGGAAATAATTGCCCAAATCTCGGGATCAAAGACCAAGCTTTGATCCGGAGTATGCCTGCGTAGATCTAAGATCCGGTCCTCTCGAACTCTTGCCTTATTTGGCGTTGACGATCGCCGAGCACCAGATCTGGATGAACAAGTCCTCGAAGTCCCAAAGTTTGAATCTTTTTTAGATCTGAGTCTTCAATCCAGCAGGGCTTCGCCTCCAAAAAATCCAACCTTTTCTATAGGTGGCTCGGTTTTGGCCGAGCCCCTATAGGTATTTGGGTTCCGTCGTTTTCCGTCTTTCGGTTCTGTCCGTGATCCGGTTGTGTGGTTGATTTAGACTCTGATTCATTGATCTGATTTGGTAGTAAATCCGATTCCTGATTTGGCAGTAAATCCACTTCTGAGTTCGAGTCCGAAACTGATCTTGATTCGATCGTGATTCGTCCGAGTCCGCCCTTGGTTGGATGACTCGTTGACTCTTCAACCCGTTAGCTTGATTCCGCACGCGAGTAGATTTATTCCGTTGTTTGCGTGCGGTTCATTAGCTTTGTAGCCTCATTAATCCGCTTCGTCGAGTATCGGCTTCGGCGTTGTGGACTAACAATCGTGTCTGCATACGTCGCCCGATGGTCGGTTCGTCGAATCGGCGTTGTCGAGCTGTGTTAAGGGACCTATAGGCAGTTTTATACGCCTACAGATACCCCCTCCAAAGTATTTCAGCCTCGTTCTTTTATAGAAGAGTCTGAAATACTTTGGATATGATTGTCCCAACCTTCGATTGGTTACGACTGGATATTTGGAGTGGCTTCCATTCTTGATTCCTTCAGTCCGGCTATTCAGTGCTTTGTAGAATGCCTGTAGGGGTTCCGGTGCTGCATTTATTGTCTGACCGTCTGTCGGAATTTTGAATTTGAAGTCGATTCTCGATTTTCTGACTTTTAGCTCGAGTTGGTTATTTCAACATAGAACTGACCATCGGTCGTCGGCGTTGAATCTTCATTTACAACGCGTTGTCCGGCGTTTGAGCTTCTTTGTGACGCGTTGTCCGGCGTCCAAGCTGGAGTATACACAATTTAAGCTCTTAAGGAATTGGAGCGTGGCGGATACTCGAGTCACGAGACCAATCTACGAAGTTGATACATCTATGACTCATATTTATAGAATTTTTGGCAAATTCTCAGCCATCAATGGGTTTGATGAGTCTTTACCGACTACCGTTTTAGTCGGGCTAGCATGCGGATTTTTCAAGTCCGTTCCGCATGTGACGTTAAGCTAAAAGAGTTAACCCTTTTAGTGCTACGATCTTGAATACGTAGACTTCGTCTTTCTCCTATGAAAAGACTAAACAGCAACGTGTATGAGACGTTGACTTAGGATTTTTGGCAAATCCTCAGCCTACAACGGATTTGACGTGCTCTTACCGATTACCGTTTGAATCGGGCTTACATGCGGATTGTCTAAATCTGTTCCGCATGGGACGTTGTGCTAAGAGAGTTAACGCTCTTAGTGCTACGATATTGAATACGTAGACTTCGTCTTTCTCACGGGAATAGACTACCCGGCGACGCGTGTTAGGCGTTGGCTTTAGGGTTTTTGGCTAACCCCCAGCCTTTAACGGATTTGATTAGCCTTTACCGACTACCGTTTGAGTCGGGCTAGCATGCGGATTGTCTAAATCCGTTCCGCATGTGACGTTGTGCTAACGAGTGAATTCTCTTAGACTTTACTGCTACGACTTCGAATACGTAGACTTCGCCATTGTTATGGGAATAGGCTACCTAGCAACGTATATTAGACGCTGAC